AGTCCCTGTCGGTGATCGTGCCACCTCAGGACGTGGACGTGGACTCGCGTGACGCCGACTCGGAGCTCCTCAGTCCGGGCAAGCTAACGCCGACGTCGGGGATAAGCGTCTCGGTCGCGAGTATGATCGACGCGACGGACTTCAGGGCGATGCAGCCGGAGCCGACCTATCAGACACTGACCTCGGTCGCGGAGAGGATGTCGCCGCCTGGCTTCAGCCCGGGCTCGTCGTACGCGACCCTAACGCCTTTGCAGCCGTTACCGCCGATCTCGACGATGAGCGACAAATTCGTCTACAGCGCGCACACGGCCGGCGGTGTGACCGGCAGTTTCGCGGTCATGCAGAACAACGGCCTCGGTAACATCGGCCTCGGTATGGGCAGCTCGCCGTACGCGTACGACAAGCTGCCGTCGATGGGGATGTCGCCGCCGCACAATTATCCTTCGCCCGGCGCTGGACTACAGCCGAGCCCTTTGTCGCCCCAGAGCGCCTACAGCCAGAGCGGGCTGAACTCGCCGCACAAGTCCGCGAGCCCGCACTACGATCCGGCGTTTTTGCCGCGGCTACAACAGAGCCCGGCGGCGTTGAGCCCATCCTCGCCGCCCGCGGTTTCCGCGACGGCAAGTTTCGCGCCCTCGCATCATTCGCCGCCCACGCACTCGGTACCAGCCGCGTCACCACCTCCCATGCAGACTCAGCTGCAACAGCAACAGCAGCAGCAACAACAGCAGCAACAGCAGCAGCAGCAGCAGCAGCAACAGCAGCAGCAGCAGCAACAGTCGATGACGCAGCAGACGATATCGCACACGCAGCACGTGCAGCACACGTCCGTCGTGATGAAAACGGTGTCGTCCGCTGGGAACGGTGCCGGCGAGGTCGAGGAGATCAACACGAAGGAGCTGGCGCAGAGGATCAGCGCGGAGCTCAAGAGGTACAGCATACCGCAGGCGATATTCGCCCAGAGGGTCCTGTGCCGTAGCCAGGGCACCCTCAGCGACCTGCTCCGTAACCCGAAACCCTGGTCGAAGCTGAAAAGCGGACGCGAGACGTTCCGACGGATGTGGAAGTGGCTGCAGGAGCCAGAGTTTCAGAGAATGTCGGCCTTGCGGCTAGCAGGTTAGTCCACCCATCCACACGGTCTCGTTTATTTCTCGTACACGTGTGTGTATATATCAGACCACGTATACACGCACATGTATACACAACATAGAAATGATATACATTTTTACTCCTATTTTGATCTACCTTTTTATCTTCACCGACATATAATATCACAATTATATCGGCGCGCGTGTCCTATAATCTCAGGCCTTCTGTCTTTGAGCGCGTACATCATCGGGTTTGCGTATCGTTATCATTGCGTATCGTGTCCCGATACGATCCGACCGTGTCGCTCGATCGAGAAACGTTTCTCTATACAAGCCAGACTGTTTACCGTCTATCGAACCGCGTTACCGCGACGACTCGACGTCTAACGCCAACCATTCTAACGCTCCACGTCTCATCTACTAGTTCTCTATCATTCTCAACCCTTCTAGAACATCTGCTTCCAGTATAGTTCAGCCTAACGCGATATCGCCAAACTATTCTTCCTAACTATTCTTCGAGATTACTCGTTATCCCATAAACAAGTTCGCGTCTCGCAACTCTACCCCATTTTAAACTCGTCCCGATCGAAATGAAACGGAACCCTTTCGACTATCATTAATTACCTCCAGCATCATCCCCCCTCGCTCGACGTACCGCGGATAGAAAACGGGGAAGCGTCGTCTATGTTCCGCTAGAAACCCGAGCGGCGATCGACGCAACGCTCGATCCGCGATAGCAGAAACGTCGAAGGGGGTCGCGTCCTATGTCCGACGATAGGACATAGGCGCGAAAAGGAAGGGTCGGGGGACAACGCGTGGCGTTCCATCCTCTGTTTTGGACCGGCGACGGACGACAACGAAAATCGGGACGGGCCGCCGTGTGCACGCGCGTAAGAGACGCGGGCGGAAGCGCACACGTGGCACCCACGTGGAGAGGCGTTCCCTTCCATATCATTCAGAGATAGACGCGCGGAATAACACTTTTCGAATTCAACATCCTTTGCCCCGGCACAACACCCGCGTACAGTTATTGATCGTGGTCACGCGGCCGATGCTCGGCGCGCGCA